GGAACTAAATGTCACAAATAAATCTAGACGATCCAGTTACTGAAAATTTGGCCAATCACGTTTTTTGCGCTCAGGCTTTGAACGTCGCCTTCATCTCGTGTCGTGATATGTTAATACATTTGACTTCATAAGTGGCTTTGCGGTTCCAGTGATGTTCGTATCCTCGGGGCTACTCTCATGTTGGTCGTCGGACAATACATTTAGATGCGGTGGGATATTGATCGGTATTCTCATCACCTTTGTGGTCAGATTGTGCAGTGGCCTCTGTTATGACTTCTAACCCTCGTTCCAAATTCGGGCTAATGCTTTCTCACTTTTGTCTGAGTCTCTGTCCGCTTGGAGACTCGATCAGTCCACTAACTTGCTTATTTGGCCTGCTGAAGCCAGTGGATTACCAAACTATTCTGAAGTGATGACTTCTCAATCGGTTCGGGATAGTTTTTTCCCCAGTAGGTTAGCTCAAGTTTAGCGTGCAGCCTGTGGTCGGTAGTTTTAACCAGAAAAACTATAACCAAATGGGGTTCCATTGACTTGCGACCAGGTTCACTCACAAACACTTATGCGTTGTCTGTTGGCTTAGATCATGTGATTACCCTGACTCGATGTCGGAGGTATGAAGTCCTGCTTATTTTCATAAAGGAAACTACTCACAAGGTTGCTGGAAATTCTTCGAACTTGTGAGTAGTTTCCTCTATTAAAATATACTGCGATATGTCGAATATCGTACCAACTGAAACATGAGACGGTCTGTGTGCAGCACATTCAGTTGAAAAACATCATAAACGAGAGAATCAGTTGAGTCTCTCGTGAAAATCAAATTGATTTGCAAATGGGTGTACTTCTCGAAAACAGTCCAATTTTGGGTTCAAGTAGAACATAAGGTTGACGGAAACTCGGGGACTACGCCTACCTGATGAGCCCCAAAAAGGGCGAAACTGGTCATGGGCTGTTGAAGAGTTTTCAGCAACTTTGTGAGTAGTTTTCTTTGTGAACATATACTGTGATATCTCGGATATCGTGCCAACCGAAACACGAGGCGGTCTGTATGCAGCACATTCAGTTGAAGAACATCATAAACGAGAGAATCAGTTGAGTCTCTCGTAAAAACCAAATTGATTTGCAGATGAGTATGCTCGTCGGCGTTCAGTTTAGTTTTGGGCCTCTAGTTTTCTGATTCTAGCAATACAACTGTTGAATTGGCTGCCATTCAGTTGTGCAAGTTGCGTCCCCTTGGAGGACTGTTCTATCGGGACCATGTCCACGTTTTCGAAATCTCACAGGTCGCTAGTTGGACACGAAGTAATGTCATTATTTTTGGACGAGTACGAAAAGTTAACTCGAATTCTGAAAAAAAAGTGGAGAAAGTTTTAACCAGTTGATGGGACTGGCTCCGTACTTCTTTGATAGTTCGACGGGGTTCGCTTCGACCTTCGTATTGATTGGGTTCAAACGAACCTAACTTGCGTCAACTGACTGGACGTGACGAGTACATTCGTTGCATTCAGTAAGGGAACCTATGATTGCTATTCAACAAGAGCAAGGGAACAACATTTCTGTAGGACAGAATTGTATTTCGCGGAAATATCAATGATAACCCACGTTAACACAAAATGCTCAACCGTTAGCCTGAACAAACAAGAGTGGACATTTTTAAATGCCCTTGCGACTGTGTATCGTCCCGATAAGTTCACCGAGATGGTTGACGTATAGTGAGTTCGTTGGAACTTGAAACCCATCCGAAGGTTAGTTGGCAACGGACGTACGACATCGGATATTAGATTGTAATAGACTCACATACATTTCGGTCAGTAGCAGCAGCTATCTTAAACCTCGCGTTATCTAGATTTTAACCACTGATGTTCCGTCGATTCTTTTGCACACGATCTACCTCATAAAACTGTAAACTACACTGCCCTCGCTTTTTGCCGTTTTGAACCAAGCTTTATTTACATATTGGTTAGAAGCTGGATTTACGTTATAACTACAGTCTACAGCTAGACATTTGAATCGGATTCACCGCAAATAACGCAGGAGTTTGATTCAAACAAGAATTTTAAGTGTGTCCTTTAGATGAACACATTTCAGTTACACCCAGTTTTTTATTCAGCCTGCGTTCGATTCGTCACTCAACCTAATCTTAGGCTTCCTTTACACGTTTCAGTGGAACCTTGTAAATCACTGTCACCATTTTTTCGCTTTGTATCGAGTCCCAATTCGCGAGGTTCATCGTTTGATGAATACTGTTTTCTCAACTCACAAGACGTCTCCCTACCGTGACACACCACTTGTAAGCCCTTTTCACGCGATGTGTAAACAGTTCCGTCACTCGCATCCTCCTCGTCTCAGTTGTATCGTTTTTTGCATATCCACAAAGATAGAAACACAATGTCATGGTTTCAAATGTCACTCTGTCAAATTCAACCTCAACGCAACTGGTAGACTACCCCGACTGAATGCAACGCTCGAGAAAGTTGCTCACCTTCTGGTAATGCTCATCAGAAGAGACAATGCCCGTAGAATTCATAAGATATTCTGCACGTTTTATGCATGGAAGCTGTGTGGTACACTCGCCTGATAACCCCAGTCGCTTCCTTCCTCATTGGTATTCCGTCCGTCAGTAAACCTGTGCAAAATGCACCCACCATGTTTGGCCATATCGTGACCCTGTTCAGTCACACTGTTATATATACCGGTTTGCCAATCTGTGGTATCTGCTGCTGACCCGCTCTAGTGCTTGAAAAAAGACTCACAGAAGGGAACACAACAGCTATATTCCGAACAAGCGAGTGCGACAGCAAAAGTTACAACGGCCCCACGCTATTTAAAGGAGACTTTCTGACATTGATCCAGGCTGCCTGACAGGCGTTATTGAACACCCGTCAACATCGGTCGTGCCTCTATGAAATGCCTGAACGCTGATCACATTCGGTCGTGCTTCTGTGACGTGCATGAATACCCATCAGCTTTTGCTGAATTGACTGAATGACTGATTGGCCTGGATGCTTGCCGGCTTTCCTGTTGAGATTTTGGTAGAGCAGTAGGTTTCGGGATTTCTGTGTATCTGCAATTAATGGTTCTCCCGGAATTTGTAAACATCATACGTTCTTTGTATTCTCAGACTTCCGGACGTGTGAGAGTGTACGGAGAGCTCTCCAAAAGCTTCCGCACACAAAGCGGTGTCCGTCAGGGATGCCCACTCTCTCCATTCCTTTTCAACTTTGTGATCGGTGAAATAATGAGACGAACGCTGGAGGGTCTCCAAAACCCTGGTGTTAAAATAGCCTGTGAAGAAAACCTTGTCGATCTGGAATATGCAGACGACGTCGTTCTCATGTTCGAAGAGGAAGAAAAGGCGCAAGTATTCTTGGATGAACTGAC